ACAGGGGCGGGGCTAGGGCAGGACAGGGGCGGGGCTCCTCCCGTCCTCTTTTTTGATTGCTGGATTATGGTAACCCTAGGGACACTGAGGAAGGAAATTGGAATCATTGCTTGCTGGAAGTTCACCCCAATAAACATTGAATTGTTTGCACCTTTAGACTTTGGGTATTGTTGCTCTCTGTTCATGCGAGAAGGACCAGGGAAGTAAGCGAGTGAAGGAATAAGCCCTCTAACACCAGTGATCCTGCATTTGGAGGTAGTGATTATTGAATGAGTGAGACTTTGCAGACTTGTTGAAGCAGGTTATTTCCCCTAAACCAGTATGGTCCAAGAGATCTTCTCTCTTCCAAAGTAGTTCTTTCAATCCTGCTGCCTAGTTGCACCAGGTGATTACAGTTAGATCTATGTTAGGATTCCATTTCACAAACTGGGTATGCCTCAGTGGTAGCTGAAGTATAAGAACCTAAACAGAATAGAATTTACTATCCTGATAGCTGTTCTGATGTTACCATAGTGCTTTGGACCAGCCATCTAACTGGGACGCTCTCTTTAAATAGCTTTTAGTTATTAATGCTCTGGGACCATCAATAATTCTATCACTCATTCACCCTGTTGCAGACTCCCTTTTTCACAAGGCTCATGTTTGTAATGAGCTAAAATGTGATTAAAAAATTGACTGCCTCTACTCTGAAGAGTTTTATTTGTTTTTAGATGAAAACTGCAAACAAACGTACACTTTAAATAGTTAGGATCAAATATTGTTTGTTGCCTTTGATAATTTTTGAAGTAGGAGCATGGAGAACAGTATCATAGGAATTTAAAGGAGGCATTTAGTATTAAATCTTCACCTCTTCCACAAGATAACACTGTTCTGTAAATCTGTGCAAGGCCTTTAACCCCTACCCCCGCAAAAAAAGCCCATGTGCACACCCGATTTTATAGGAGCCTGTCGCCTTCATACTGATTGGCTGTGTTTTACCTAATACCCTTCAGCATCATTGATATTCACCTGGATGACATTATTATTGCTATTTCCGGTCATGTGCTGGTCAGGGTAAGCCTGAATGGGGTTAATAAAATAAATCGAGAGAGGTATTAGTGCCATTAACAACACTTGACAATGCAAGAGAAAAATAGCCCGCCTTTAACCAAGCTGGCAAGAGTCCGTCAGGCTTATGCGTAGATTTCTGACACTTCATTTTGATAACTCTGAAATTACTTTTCTTTCCAGCAGTGATTTGCTCGACACCCCCAGTATCTGCATCTTTTCCTTTTTAAAAAAGATTTACTCTGCATTTCTTCCATCTTCCCCTCCTAATATCTGTGACTGCTATTTGCCGCTGAAGCAGCTTCATCGGTGGTTGTACTAGAGCAAAGTTTGTACTTTATGGGCTTGAGTGCACACCAGGTTTGCCATTGATGTCAATAGGAGCAGGCGCAGCCCCGATGTGACTTAGCAGCACCATCTTCCGATGCACCCTTTTATTCTTCAGGCCATTTATGGTAGCTCTCTCCTCCCCAGAGTCAATTCCAACCTCAGTGATCTTCCCCCTGATTCTCAAAGTCCCGGTGGTCTTCCTGACCTTCGGCTCACCTTTGTCCTATTCCCACGGCAATCCTGCTGACAGTAACTAGCCTTCCTCCATAGTGCAGTCTGACTGTATGATGGATGTTGGCATGATTCCCTTTCATGATGAGCCTCTATCTTGGGATCGTGATACAATAAAAATGGACATAGACTTTTGAAAGGATTGGTCCCATGAGGACATTTTGAAAATACGATGGTCTTGTGGATTATAAAGTTATGTGAACACATTCATGCTTCTCTGGTTGTAGTCTTCATTTCAGATTAAAATTTACCTCTGTAGTACTGTCGGTCATGCAATTATTTCTTTTTGTAAACCTCTGCATTTAATCAGAACTTCTGATGCAGCAAAGTAAGGTTTTTGATAAACTTAGTTTCTGTTTATAAACAATTATCCAATGTCATTTCAAGCTTCATGTGACACTCACTTTGGACTTTGTCCTCTTACAGCCTGGCTCGTATTTGGACATTGTTGGGCTGAGGACTGTAATCGATCCCCCTTCTGCCCCAGCGCTAGAGTATGCTGAGGAGCAGCTGTACAAGCTGAGATGACACTTGATTTTGAGTTAAAGTGTATTATAGTGGCGTGGCAGCACCCATACAGGTAAGGTTGTGTCATGACATCTGTTTAAAGGTGGACCTTTCTAAGTCCTCTAAAATCTCATGCTTACTTGGAATTGGTGCCTCAGGAGGATGCAGGGTATAGATAGTGACCCCAATCTGGAGTCTTTTGAGTCAGGGATTCCAGAGATATTAACCCTGAAAAAATAACCCATTTTTAAAAGTTTCTAGGGAGGCTGTTTTGGGTGTGTTTATTTGCACAGTGCTAGAGATCAACCTATGAATGTGTGATGTAGGTCAAAATGGTCTGTCTGTTGAGTTTTAGCCATGGCACTCACTGACTCTTTGGGGTACCCAAACTCAGAATAGTATTTTAAGGAAATGGACATTTTTTACACTGTGCACGCAGCAATACAGAAAAACTGCTAGTGGGTTTCCATTCCCGCCATTTGATAGGCTTTAAATGCGACTCCTGTAAGTGCTCTAAACTCCAAAAGAATTACCCAGATTGCTTTGAAATTTGATGTCCCTCATGAGGGTGCAGAGGAGCATTAGTGATCCAAATTTGGGGTCATTTCAATGAGGGGTTCCCAAATTACAGGCCCCTCCCCAAAACAGTTGCCTTCTGCTGTCTTGTACAGTTAGTGAGAGGTACTAATGACTGGATGAATCGCAGACCTTCTGATGGGCATGAACTCCCCCTTAATAGCTAAAGATAAGTTAATTGGAAGTCCCCACCTTTCACAACAGGCGTTTTGGACTTAGTGTCTGGAATCTGGTTTGTGAATCCTGGATGGTAATTTCATTTTGGGTGGAAGATAATCAGAGTCTTGTTGGGAAAATAATTAAATGCGTGAATGCCCCCGATATCACTCCCCTCCCAGGAAGCAAATGGGGGGGGGGGTTGGGGCTGCCATGAGGGAAGGGGGCGATAGGGAGGGGGATAAATGTGGATGCATGTTGGGGGAGGTGAGAGGCTTGGGGCTCAGATGATGTAGGCATAGCACCCCCAGTTCTGCTAGTGCATCCCAACCGTCCTACACTCCACAGCTCTGCCAGTGCACTCAAACACTACATGAAAGTTATTACATGTTGGAAGAATATTAATCAGGAAACTGAAGGGTTCATGGCTGACCAGAAAATGTGAACTGAAGGACATAGAAACATTGCAAGCTCTGATACATCAGTATTTCTTGGAGATGAGGTACATCTGTTGGACAGGGCTCAGCGGATCTTTCTCTCAGACATAAGATTGTCTGTGTTTTGGACTGTCTGTAATTTCTCTCAATGGCTCTGCTGCAAGTGCCACTCTCCAACCGTCATGAAACATGACCAGGAACACATGTCCACTGTACTCTAGTCGACCTTCCCTCCAGGCACTGTACAAGAGTCAAGTTATAGGAGAGGCAAAACACGGGCACTAGAAATGTCTGTACACCATGGAGGGAAGACTTCAGGCAGATGTGTTCCCTGCTTGTGGCGGGGAGACCTTGGTACAGGAGTGGAGCAGGACCAGATTGGAGGAGGAAACGCATGGAATGCGGGGTGGGGGGGCAGGCTGGGGAGGTGTGCCAAAGCAGGGATGGGGGGGCACTGCTAGTGTGTGTGTGGGGGTCCTGACTCAGTATGCTAATTGGAGGACATGATATGTATAACTGCCTAAATGACTACCCACTCCTACCAATGACATATCTCTTCCTGTTCAAAAAGTCAGGAAATTCTGTGGCAAAAAATGATATTAATATAGAGGTACGGTTGCTTGGTGGTATGTCCTCTCCTTGCAAAATGTGGAGTTGAGCAAAACTAAGACTTCTGAAAACCAGGAAATGCAGAGTTAAGGTGGCCTATGAAAGATTGACTGCCCTTTTTCAGCGATGCCCCAGTATGCTCTGGTGACACATATCTTTACTCTGCCAACCCCAAACTTATTGACATTTGCAAACTCCTCACCTCCTTTTGTAACCCATTCACATGATTCCATCTAACACTATTAAAGGACAAAAAGGGGGGAGAAAAGGTTGCCCACTTCATCCTGTCTCCCCTCTCTGAGCAATGCGCCTGTGTGCACATAGCGTATACTCGCACTGGCCCTTGGCAGGATCAGGAGGTTCCAGATCCTCGTGTATACTCACACATTTAGCCAACTCCCCAGAACGACTGCCATCCACGTACCATCTAAGAACCACTTTACAGCCTTTTACAATCCCTTCCCCGGAGGGTACGTCTGCATTTAGCTGGGAGGTCTGATTCCAAGCTCATGAAGACATGCCCATGCTAGCTCTGCTTGAGGTAGTGGACTAAAAATATCAGTTTATCCAGAATGGATGGTGGCTTGAGCTAGCCACCTGGCTATGTACCCAGGGGGTCCAGATGAGTTTGTATCGGGTAGCTAGCCTGAGCTACCTGCCCTGCCCCAGCTACTCTGCTATTTTAGCATGCGAGCTCAAGCAGAGCTAGTGCGGGTATGTCTGCATACACTGGGAATCACACCTCCCTGCTCAGATGTAGACATACCATTACTCACAGGATATCATCTCAACCTACACCTTCGCTTAACCATTATTAACCCTTAGAATCCTTCATATTCCTCTTTGCTGCTGACATTATCCTTTGTAATAAAAGCCGTGTGCAATGCTACTGACAACCTACTCAGTTATGCATAGCAATGATGCATACTGCAGCCTGACGGTACACATCACCTCTTCCTTACTGTCAGACATGTGGGTGCAAAATCTAGATGTCCTCATATTATGAGCACAGCTCTGTCATCCACTGCAAAGTGATCCACATGGGGCTTACTACTGCAAACACCGCTTTCCCCAACAGGTCCAACTCCTGCTGCCACCATTTCATGTGACTGCCCCTGGAGAGTATGCAAATAATTCCCTCTGGCTATTGCCAGCTCCAGGGCAACATAGGGAAGGTGGTGTGGACAACCTTTTTGAAAATCCTTTTAGAACTGTAATAGTGTTCGATGGAATCCTGTGGGTGAGAGTGAATGGGGTGTAAAAGGAGATGAAGTGTCAGGCACTGCCTCCAATAATCATGCCACGTGGTTGGAGCGTAAGGTCACAGTTAGGCATAGGTTGGGCCCGGGCTAAGGATGGGGTCAAAACTGAGATCAGAGTCCGTAGACAAGCCAGGATCAGAACCATAGCCAGAGACTAGGGTGCAGGCCAGAGGTGGAAGCCAAGTGGTCAGAATCCAAAGACAAGCCAAGTTGATACCAGAGTCGGAGTCCAGATATGTGTATGGGCAACTTTGATTCTGCATTTCCTGGTTTTCAGAAGTTTTGCTCAATTCAATGTTCTGCAAGGAGGGGACATACCACCAAGCAACCTCAACTTTGTGTTAATATAATTTTTTGTCCTTGAATTTTCATAAGGCTTCTCATATAGTGGTCATGTGTTTCTGGTTGAGTACAGAAATAGAAAAGCTTTTTCCTTTTCTTTCACTTCATATTTCTCCGCAGAAAGGCTAAAACAAGACCCCTAGTTTCCCATTTGTGACCGTTTCAGATATTCTTTCTAATAATTTAATGAAGGCTGTAGTGTTGCTCTGGGGCCCGTGAATGCTCTAAAAGACTTGTTTAGATACACTGAAAAATTCTCAGAATAATAAGGTGGGCAAAGTGTGGCAGGAAAAAAAGTGTTTCTAATTTCCCCCCCTTTACAAATGCTTCGTAGCAATCCTTTACAGCTGGCTAAGAGCTAGGGTTTCTCGCACTGAGAAAGTGAGACTGTAAATAAACCAATGCAGCACACCTGGAAAGAATAAAGTGCTTTGCTAGACTTTACAGTGGACTTAGAATCAATGCGTATCTGGTTGGTGTGGGACAATGAGCCTATGCTGCAGAGTAGAATGGCAGAGGGAGGCTCTTTTAATTCTTAATCTTCTGTAACAATTTATTTCAAAAATATTTGTAAAGTATTTGTTAGTATCTCTCTGCCATGGTGGAGTAGAAAAGGTTCCCCTTTCTTAGTATTATGATGCAGCAATCGTCAAAGACAGTTAAAGATGTAAATATCTCATTATAAGCTCAAATTTCAACCCCTCAACTATTTCCACCAAAAGAAACAGATCTTCCTGAGATGCTGCATCTCATCCCAGGGCAGAGATTTTCTGGGAAGTTTGGAAAAAAATTTAACAGCTTTTAAATTATTGTATTTTGACAATCTAGCTACAATTTTCTTTTTGAAAGCTAATTTCCTGCCCGTTTTTTTTATTTTTGGCTGCTCATTATTGCTTAGCTACAAATTCCAACTATGGTTTGTATTGCAGATGCAAAGAAGGACCTTTTCGCATTTTGTTTCTTTGTTTCTGGGGTAGGGAATGAAGGGTTGAGGGGAAAAAAAGTTGCTGAAATGTCTAAAGAACAACTTACAAAACATATGTAAATATAAACTGGCCTCCTTCTGACTCCTGATATCAGGTTGGGTCTGAGCCAGAGTTGGAAGGAGTAGCAGACCATGAGAAGTGGTTTGCTATTGCATAGAGTGGGACAACAGGGGTCCAAGAGGGCCGTAGACTGGGAAACACATTGATAAGATGCAGGGAGCATGTTTCTCCTTCTCAATTTATTGCACCAGAGACGGTGTGACATTAGGTTTTTCATGTGTGTGCTGTCTGTGCCTTTCATCGGGGCTTCATTTTGAAAAGGATTAAGAGGAACAGTGGAGTCTGGGTCATGAATGCAAAGCATCAGCACCCCAGAACTTCATTCACTTTCATACATCTCTCTTTCTCCCCCCAAACCTCTCAAGGAGTGTATTACTCCATTTGGAGTTGGTCAGTATAGTTCATTAATCATCTAGTGGTGTCACTTTGAGACAAGTACTTCCTTCCAAAGGCTGAGTGGATATTTGTAACATTTTGCAGGGAAAATATATACATGAGTATACACACATGCTCTCTTCCTTAAGTGCTAAAAAACTCAAGTGCAAACACTGAAAGGAAGGGTTTTTCAGAGCCCAGGTACACAGGAATCAGCAAAGTATTTAAGCACATAGAATAATAGAAAGGTAGGACTGGCAGGGGCCTTGA